AATGCGTACAGATAACTGCAGGTAATGTGTACTGTTCATGAATATCAGTGTTTATGACATTTTTCCTGAAGTGAAAGGGTGTTATGCGTTGTTCAGTTTTATCTCTTCCTGTGTAGGCTTTAAACTTCGGGCATAGGAAGACGGATGGCCGTTGAATTACAAATATTTCTCATGCACCGTTTCCTTTCTCGAAATAGTTGTTAATGTTTGTTCGAGGCTTTCTGCTATGTTTCTTGGACACTGTTTCCTTTTTCTTTCCAAGACAGGATTTCCCATTTCTGTGCTTTCTCCGTGAGTTAAAGATTCATTCGCATCGTTAACTTGTCATCCTTGTGAAATTGATTGACGCGTCTCAGTGTATGGGGAAATGAACACGCGGCTATATCTGTGACACATCCGAAAAATAACATTTTATCCATCTCATCTGAATAACCAGCTCTGAGATGGGTCAATGCGAACTGCAAACCTAAGAGGTTCTAGCATCAAACAGGATGTCCGTACCTTTCGCCTAATCTGGTATTGCGTCAGCAAAACACAAGCTTCGCTTCGTTTTCACCCTTCAGTGACTTGCTGTCCGATTCCTGGTAGTTGCGCCAAAGCAGCGTGATGTGAGTTCCTTGTTTCAGAGTTCCTTTTTTAGCGATTAAGACATTTTTCTTCTTTGGATTCTAACCGCATTTCGAAGCCGACTTTATTGCAAATAAATAGTGCTCAAAATCATTTTCTTTAAAATAGGGCACTTTTGGCTAAGCGAGGCTATGCGCTGCACCATACGCTCTATAAAACTAGGTGCCATCAAAATACCTCTCACGAAAGTTTAGTGGGAACGAACATCTGAGCATTCTCTATTTCTTTCTCAGTATATCTCAGAGAATTGCATCACTAGAGCATTTGCGGACTTTCTCCTTGATGTCATCCTTATATAGTGGTACGAAAAAGATTTTATTGTATACAGTGCAGTGTGTTAATCAGTCGTATGACGGATCAGTGCCAACTTCGCTGCCCGTATTTCACGGGTATTCTTAAAAGTAATGTAGATGATACTTTTAGGCTACTGCGGAGGTCGTCTGTATTAGCTTGGCGGTTCGTTGAGTCCAAAATCAAGCCTTCCTTCTGTGCTGCTGGTTAGGTGGCTAGTGAGCGACAGGCCTAATGGCTCTCCAATTCGTACTTGTTGTCACGATTGACATCGTCGGGGGTAATGGATTATTAGTGCCCCCACTCCCGTTGCATGCTTGTTCAGCCAGTGGCTTATTCTGATGATGCAGGTGCACTCAGATCACACAATGCAGCATGCTGCAAAGTCCTGAGACTCCTTTCGCTTTTTTTCTTGACTGGGCTGAGGACGAGATTTCCGTTTCTTTGTGGATGCTACGTTACTACTTGTCGTTCACATAGCTCCGCAATCGTCTTTCTTCTCCAGCTTGACAGATGGGCGTTTTTTCTTTGAATGATTGTGTTCCCTGTTTTCCCTCTGTAGTATTTCTGCAGTTAAACAGTAATGTGTTAACTCATCCTAGCGAATTACTATTCTCAGGGCAAATGGCTTTTGGCATGACGTAATATACTCCGTATTTAATTTACGCCCAAGCCATTCGCATTGAAAGAAACTCTGGAGATGAAGAGCTCTAACATGTATGTAAAAACGACATTTCAATATATATTTGAGCAGTTTGGTCTGAAATTGCAGTTCTGTTGCGTCAGATTGCTGCTGATGGCTGCCGGGAGCGAAAATGTCAGAATCAAGGAAGTGAATATCGTATGCCTTTTGCATTGACAAAAAATGAAGAGATGTGTAACTTTGACATGTACTGAAAAATGACATTTCAAGATTATTTTTCTCCGAGTTATTCAATTAAGTATTAAGGTTTGATGGAACATTTATGTACTTCGTTAATATCATGTTTAGATTCAGCAAGTTTTATAACTTTTCACTGAAGTCTTATCATAAGAGAGAATTGAGTAGGATTTTTTATTCAAACTATTATCGTTGGCATTACTGATGTTGCAATTCAGCTGAATGTTCGTCATTCTGTAGTTTGTAATTTTAATAACGAATCTGACATGATAGCTGTTTTTGTTATATTAACTTAGTTTGATGCTTTGGCAGGTCACAGACGGGAAGACAACGCATAAAATGTTCTTTAATTAGGGCCATCTAACGTTTCGGACCAAGCTCGATCCGTCCAGAATACAATGAGAAAGGCACGTCATGTTTTCTTGAGGTCCCCATAAATCATGCCAGACCTGAACCGTTTGCTCGAAGTTTGGAAAACCTTGACAGCAACTCAGAGTCATTGCCCTTTGCCAGGTTTACGAAGTATTCCATGAAGATTTCAGCAAGAATAAAGCAAAATAAAGTTCCCATATTTGAGAGAAAACTAATTCCCTGTAAGGTTACTAATTTCTCTATATAATTACTCGACATTTTCGTACGTTTTGTAGTAAATTACATTTTAGAAGTTTATTTATAAGTTTAATGATAACTTTAATAGGAATATTAGTAAATTATTATACTTTGACGTCATTATTGACTCTAGTGTTTCATTCAGTCGACGCAGTCTATTTCAATTCCGAATTATGAAATCGTTTTTCATATGCGTGTTATTGTGCGCTTTACTCACAACTCGCTCATTGTGGAATCATGAATGCCTTCTAGCCTGACGATTGCTTTCATATTTTTCAGTCATACGTATCTCCATTACCAGTAGCAGCATGTGCCCTACTTGGTTTTGTCCGTAATATTTTCAGCGTTATATGACCTCCAGCACAACAGGAGATGCATACCGCATGTTTTTCACTCCTTCATATTCCTTATCCTGTTCAACTGAAACATTTCTTTCGTTTGTTCTCTTTCGACACCGTGGCTACATCCGCAGTACCAAGGTATTGATCCAACGAAGTGCACAGATTCGCTGTTCTTGCTCTAAAAAGCCCTCACCCGCCTACCGAGATGCTTACATATTCCGTTTTTTGCCTCCTATCACGACCTATGTTTTCTCAAGGTTAGCTTTCGGTCTGCAGCATGAACTAGCTGCGTCACTTTCATCATCAGCAGTTATTCTTGCACTTATCATTTTTAGATGCATCACTACCTCTGCCTATAGCAATGTTTCTTTCCCCCCAGTAATTTGTTTCATCGGTATTTACAGTATGGCATACTTAAGGTGGAGAACCTATCAAGCCTGTTTAATTACTGTCATAGATTTTCACCGTCATTTCCGCTGGCTCTGCATTTACTTTGACAGCACTAAATGGTTTTGTTGAAGTTAGGTCTGAATGCAAAAAAAAATTTTTTCTTTTATGCGTTGTTTAATCATTATACAGTAATTCGATTTGATAGCTTTGTATTTATTTCTTTGTTCTTGCTATTTGTTTGCTACTTAATTAGGACAAACGTATCTTCTTTCCTTCTGCTGTATAATCTGATTGTTTGTTGATCAGGTTCAAGCAGTATGCTCTAATTTGGGCAGTGTGGCCTATATTCCAAGCATATTCAGGATTCAGGCATTCTCTGAGTTTTCCGTTGCTGAGCAGTGTTAATTGTTTGTCTGTTGTAAACCTACAAACTTCCGTATGGCATATTTTTTGTGTAATGATATGATTACTGGTTTGTCGCATTCGCCCCTGGAAACGCTGCTTTTTTGCTTTCACATGACACTGATCACATTTTTTTCTCAGTACTGTACCTTGTTGCTAGACTTCGGTCCTTCCTTTCTGCTTCTTCAAGCTACAGCAGTCGCCCCAACCCCTGATTTTATTCCGTCGAGGATAGGCGGAAGACATTTACCGAAACTTCGAAATGAGCATTAAAAGCATCCAGTTCCTCCGGTGATGGAGTAATGAAAGCATAACTACTAAATAATGAACTAAATGCAAAGTGCGCAAGGTGCCCTCGACGGTAGGCCTAGATATGAACCCAGCCATAACGAAAATCTCGCGAGCACCCAGCTCGACTAACGACCCTATGATTGAACGGAGTAGAACAACCATCGAGGAGGTCGAAAGCTTTAAGTACCTCGGCTCTGTACTGACAAGTGATGAACGCTGCGGTGTGGAAGTAGAGCAGCGCTTTCGGCTGACATCTGTGAACTTCGGATGACCTTTTAAAATGTGGGAAGACCAGTCTATCCGGACAGCAACAAAGATCACCACAGTGAAAGTTGCTGTCTTCCCTGTCCTGATGTACAACCTTGAAATATCAACCCTGTTAAGGCGCCATGAAAACATGTTGGGCACTTTTCAACAACGTTGCCTGCGGAGCATTCTGAAAGGGCAGTGGTTGTTCGAGTAAAGAATGAAAAAATCTTGAAGATGACCGGCCTGAGAATATTATCTGAAGAGATCAGGGACCAGCTTCTGCCGTGTTTTGAGAGAACCATCTGGAGAAAGAAGGGACTCTTATCTAAAACCATCCACCTTTGAGAAGGAAATGATGGCTGCAGGCGGGTCGGAGGCCAACAACTCACCCTAAAGCAGCTGCTATAGGCAGAATTGCTTGCGAGAGAAATATGACCTTTGTCGCAGCAACCAACATCGCCTAAATCATTCTGAGAAGCCAAAGCTTCAGACATTATTAATCATTATTAATCTAGGTACCCGGTATTTGATTTGATACTTCAGATGACAATGAAAACAACAATCCAAGTAAGAGAAACCCTATAACTGTACATATGTATGCGTATAGAATCAGCGCGAAAACGGCTATATTCAAGTTTCTGTCTTACGTGTTGCATGGGTCTTTAGCTATGGAAAAATTTGTGCTGCCAATCACCTTTGAATTAAGCAGATAGTAAGAATGAAGCTAAGACATCAGATAAGCAGCATGACACTTTTTGCCGGCCATGCAGTTAAACTGTATGAATTGCACTGGCTAAAATTTTTGGGAATTAGCGCTAGTGTTGGAATGACGTCTGCGCTGGTGATCCATGTGATTAACTGGAACACTACGATACTTCTGCAGTTTGAGGCGTTTGAAATTTCAGTAGTTCGTTTATAGGCCTGTTATGCTCGTCAGTACTCTGGATGGCATTGTCACCGCGTTGGATGTCGAAAATTTCGGCATAACGTTATGGGCGATGTACACAAGCACCAGTCCATTACTGCAGTCGACGCTTCACAACATGGAGGTGGGACATCGCTGAATTGTAGTTGGTTTTCTTTGACATGATTATCATTTTCGCTTAGGTACGTTCAGGGGACATCGCGTTTCGGTTGCTGCCGTCGCTGGATGGAAATTTTTACATGTATAACGAGGCGATCACTCAGGGCATACCGGTTAGCACGGACAACCTCCTCAGTCATTCAATTCGCCTCGGTCCGGACCTAATCGTCGGCGGAAAGGAAATTATTTCCTATGGCATCGACTACATCACTGGCCAAGTACACGATGCATTTTTATGTTCTCAGTACATGAATTTCAATAATGCACAGTAAAACGCGGTTTATATTCCTTTGAATGTACGATGGGACTAACGAGATTTTTGCAAAACTGCCCATGTAATTTGGTGTAATGCAAAAGTACGTCTTTACTCATGATATGATATCATTTGAAAAATAAATTAAATAAAAATGATGTTCATATAATCATGCGTATTGTTTATGCGTCTGACTGTTACTTGTTAAATCTGTTCTTAATTTCGCCAGTTCTTGATTTTCCTAACCATTTTGGCTCTTCTCTACTTCTAAGATTCGTTTCCAGTTTAACGCAAAGTTTCTTCGTTATCACAAAAGCTGTCGCATGCATCACACCATTGATCGATTACAAATTACTGGCTATTATTGCTGTCAGGACACCGCTAGCATGTGTGATATTTTCAAACGGCTCTTTTCTGTCACTGATTGATGCATATGTATCTGAGATTCTTCAAGTCGTTTAAAATCCTGAGTGATTTCCTACTGTAACAATTTTTCTTTACCGTGCAGCTGGATAACTTAGCTCTTTCGATCACTGTATTTATCGATTTGTCCGTTATGATTTCACTAATATATTGAGTTAGTTGATCCTCTTGTGCAGTGGTGTCACTATCAAGCACTCTTCTGATCTCATTCAGCCCTAATTCTGTTAACAGCATGTTTTTTGCAGGGATACTTTTGTGGTCCGCTTGACGTTGCCCCCTTGCGACACTGAGGGGTGGTTGTCCTCCATTCTTCCAACGCTTTTTTTCTGTGTTCCCTTCCCTGCTTCACAGCTATGTAACACCACCTCACTGTAGCCTTGTTTTCTTCTTTCAGCTATTGTTTTCCCGCCGTACGCCATGATTTCACGTCCACAGGCGTTGCAAGACGTAAAATTGGTTCTGTTTGCCCATTCATCACAGATTTCTTCAGTTTCGCCACATCCTGCATGGCCTTTGGTAACCCGATCATACACTGATTCGGTATGTTAACAGTTTCACTGCCATATACTATAATGGGTAGAGGGTTGATCGCATTTAGTCATGCATCTCGACTGAAACCTGTTCAGCATATGTGGCCCTACCAAAAATATTGAGCTTCCGCTGTTGTTGTTACGAGGGCTTTGAGGCAGCAAGCCCCGCCACCATGTCTAGGCTCCAGTCTCGGTAGGGTAACGTTTATATTACATTTACATTTATGCATATATTATAGTCATTTTATTCTCGATTTTGCCTTATATAGAATACTATGTATCAGAAAGCTGAGACGATATTTCACATTATCATATGTATTACGTTGCCATAGACGTTGTTCTTTCTGTTATCACTATAATTAATTTTAGCAGCATATATACTGCAGAGTAGGTCAGATGTCGTTAGAAATGTTGTATAAGAGTGACATTAGGCAACTTTTGCAGGTTGTTAGCAAAAGTCACATTCCTGACCACAAGCACAAGTGTCTCATCAAGTTATTCCTTAGTTGTGTATTATTCTGCAAATCATCTGTGGTCAATGGAAGGTTCTTACCTGAGAAATGTTTTGCAAATATTTGTTGTCCTTTCAGACCATTTTGCCAAACGCACAAGAAACAAACATAGCTGTAAAAAGTAAAAGTGATAATTCAGTAGTTCTTGAGACAGACGGTAAACCGATGCTAAAGTCTTTGCCAAAACTGCCGATTTCATTTGATCCACACTGACCATCTTGAGCTCAAGCGTAGACAGGCATTGCTGCAAGTTTTTTTCGCTCGTAGACTATTTTCGTGCACGGTTTGAACCGACGGGTTTACAGTCGCGATCTATGGTTGAATCTTTATCATATCAGTCGATGTTAAACTCTTATCCATTCTTCTCACATCCAGAATCGTCAAAGTTGGTTATTTTGTTTAAGGTTTTGTACATCTGTTCACCGTTGGGTTGTCGCAATCTGTCTGACGCATCAGCATGCCCGAATCGAGTGGTCATTCGACGCATAACTCAGATCGTTCGGGCCGTGAATGCTTCTTCCGGCACTGAGAGGTATTATTTCTATCGCGTATTTTTAAATAAACGTGCCTATTGAAAATATGTTTTATTTAATTCTCATTTTGATTTAAGCCCGTTGTATCATCAAGGCAAAGGTATTGAGTCGGCAAGAATGCGCCTTATCATGACCAAAATAGAACATAATTGATACCAGGAAACATGAATGACAGATCAGTCCGGAAATTTTTAAAAAGTTTGTGCAGCAAATAGAAATGAGTATTCATCACACATCTTGTTTCTGATTGAACGATTTTCTTAATGAGAAGACCAAGTTGAAAATGGACTCTACCGCGTCGCCTGACTGAATTAACGTACCTCAGAAGCGAAGTACTGGATGATACTTAGCTGTAAGATTACAAACGGCTATTTGCTAACTCTTAGTAATTCTCTTAATTCCGATATCCATGCTTTCCACAGGTCTTGCAAATGTATATCGTATCCCAATTATGGCCATCGAAATGAGAGCCTCGTTTGATTTGCTGGGTAGGTGCTTCTTGAATTATTGCATTTCGAGTGTCGTGCCACTTTTGTAGTAGACCGTAAATTTTGTCAGAGTCTCCAATAAGTCTTCTACATTTCTCGTTCTTTCGACGTCATTGCTATCCTGCAAACTCATCACTGCGATTTGCTCCTCCTTATGGTTTTCTTTTCAGATGGAATGTGACCGTTGGCGAAAACCAAGTGCTGCTGTCGTCCGGTGAAGAAGCGCAGTGTGGCAAGGACGAGTGCTACGGTGACGATGACGGACTGCCATCGTGTCACATTGGAGTAAAGCTGGTTCCTCCGGACGGCGTTGTTTATTTTTACGATAAACGAGTACCTTCGCAGATCCTGTGGCAGCGCAAAGTAACTAGCCGTTGTTTTGTTTCGTCATATGATTTCCAATATGTACTCGACCGATCCTTTATACACAAAATGAGAGAGAATACCAAAACTTAACTTTGTGCCAATTTAATTTAAATAGGTTATTAAACAAAAATGTATTTAATCATAATGACGTTATTTTCTAAATTGCACGTAATGCTTTTCTAAAGATGCTTTGAAGAGAATTTGGGCACCGGTTTTGCATTAACGGTTAGAACTTCATTCATTCATTCATCTTCGATCGCCGCTTGTCCTTGCGGGTCGCGGAGGCGGACGCGTCACAGAGAGTTTCCAACGTTCCCGTTTCTGTGCCAGAGTCTCAGCTTCGGCAGAAAACAA